GTGCACCAGGCATCTAGTATACTTATAAATTGTTATAAGACATAAAGAATTATAGTACATTGGAATCTATACACATGATTAAATTTTAGAAAAAGTATTACCTTCGAAAACCTCATGTGCCCTTGTCCAACCCTATCTCTTCATTCCTCCCTCAGAGGTAGCAATCACTATCCTGAATTTTATATTTTCCTTCCTTCTTCCTTTCTTCCTTTCTTCCTTTCTTCCTTTCTTCCTTTCTTCCTTCCTTCCTTCCTTTCTTCCTTCCTTTCTTCCTTTCTTTCTTTCTTTCTTTCTTTCTTTCTTTCTTTCTTCCTTTCTTCCTTTCTTCCTTTCTTCCTTTCTTTCTTTTTTTTGCCTTTTTTCAATTGGTCCTTTCTTCCTTTCTTCCTTTCTTCCTTTCTCTTTTTTAAGAACATCACATAGCTTTTAATTTTTTATTTTTTACTTTTACCTTTTTAAATTTGTCTTTATTGTTGAAAGTATTACAAATATCCCCCCTCTTTTTTCCCCATTGACTCCCCCACCTTCTGCCTTCACCTCACTATCCATGGATTATGCATATGTGCATATAAATTCTTTGGTTAATCTCTCCCCACCCACCCCTGCCTTCCCTCTGAGATTCATTAGGATATATTCCTAGAAGTGGGATTATGGGGTCAAATGGTAGTTCCATATTTAATTTTTTGAGTTCCATACTGTTTTTCATATTGGCTGCATCAATTTGCATTCCCACCAGCATGGACTAGGGTTCCCCTTTCTCCACATCCTCACCAGCACTTTTCATTTGTTGATTTGATGATAGTAGCCTCCAACAGGTGTGAGATGATATTTCATTGTCCTTTTAATTTCATATTTATCATTCCCTTGCTTTTTTCTCTATAGATTTACCATTTATATGTGTATTCCTAACATATTGCTTAGTTTTGAATGTTTTTGAACTTTATATAAATAGAAGCTTGCTGTGCTTTATTTATCTATATCTTGATTCTTTGATTCAAAATTATTATATTCCTGAAATTTATTCATGATGTTGCATATAGCAATAATTCATTTTTACTGCTATATAGTAACCATTATGGATATGTATTATTTATTTACTAATTCTATAGTTGATGGATATTTGGGTTGCTTATATTTCTTGATATTATAGTTAGTGCAGCAGGGAACATTCTAGTACATGTCTCCTGGTGTAAATGGGGATATTGGTAAGATTGAAAATGGTGTTCATAGCTATGCATATCTTTAATTGTACTTAATAATACCAATTGTTCTCAAAGTAGGTATGCCAACTTACATTCTTTCCACCAGTGTATGAAAATTTCTGAGCTCCACTTCAGTGGTAGCACTTGATACAATATGAAATCTTGATGAAAATACAGTTTGTGAAATATTTTAACATTTCTTTTTCAGTAATACTGGTAGAGCTAATAGGCAAATATTAGTATGCTATAAAATAATTGAATAATACAGTTGATAAACTCAGTTTATTGTATTTTCATATTCTTTGACAAAATATGTTTCCTTTGTATGATTTAAAACTTTATGAAAATGTTGTCAGGTAATTGGACACAAAGGAAACCATAAAATCTTAATTACTTGGAAATTTAAAAACATAATTAAGATAGCTCTTATAGCAAAGAGGAAATAAATGGAAGCATTTAAAATTACTATTTCAAAAATCTATGGGATAAGGTAAAAGATATATTTAGAATACATTCTTTATTTTTTTATAATCCTCATAAGGATATTTTTCCATTGATTTTGAGAGAGGGTGTGGAAGGGTGAGGGAGAGACAGAGAGAAACACTGATGTGAGGGAGACACATCGATTGGTTGCCTCCTGCATGTCCCCTACCAGGGCCAAGAACCTGCAACCGAACTCTGTGCCCTTGACCAGGATCGAACCCGGGATCCTCCAGTCTGCACACCGACACTCTATCCGCTGAGCCAAACTGGCTAGGGCACATTTATTATTAAAGAAAGACTAAAAATAGGAAAATTTTACACTTATCTTAAATTCATCCTGAGCATGGTTTAAAGAAAAAAGAGAAAGAAAATGTATAAGATTAGAAATAATATGCATCCACAATATACATCTACAAGATTAAATTATATGCAATTGTGACAACATAACAGAAACTCTTGGAGGATTTCCTAATAGGACATAAATTATGAAACCTGCCCAAGAAAGTTTTCATATACAAATGGACATAAATGAAATTTAAAAGTTGGTAAATATAGCTTTCAAAAATATTAGGATCAAATAGTTCCACAATTAAATTCTTACTAGTATTAAAAAAATTTTTTTAATTTTAAGAAATTTTACTGTGTGTAAATTATAGCTCTACTAGAGGCCCAATGCACGAAATTTGTGCAAGAGTAGGCCTTTGCAGCCCCCGTGGCTGCCTCGGCCCTCATAGCCCCAGCTTCATCCAGAAGGCCATCCAGAAGGTTGTCCAGATGGTCATTCCACTGTTCAGCCATTCGATCAATTTGCATATTATGCTTTTATTAGTATAGATTACAAAAAAGGAAAAGATAAGAAAAGAAAGAAAAAGAAATTACAAATAATTATGACGTTGTTCCAGACACTTCTGAAAGACGGACTCCTTCTCAATTCATATGCACACAATGTAATACTAAACTATTAAGTACAAAAAAGAAAGCTATGAACCAATCTCATTTATGTATATAGTTGAAAGAAGTATAAATGAAATCTTAGCAAATAAAGTCTAGCAAAATATCAAAGGAATAATACACTATAATCAAATCAAATGCAAATTCTTTTTTTCAGGAATGGTAAGGTGTTCCTAATGTCAGGAAAGTTAATATATAATTTATTATATCAACAAACTGAGGTGGGAAAGTGATCCTATCCCTAGACTATGAAATAGAAGTTGATAAAATTTAACAACCATTTGCAATAAAAACAAACAAAACCAGAATGGTAATAGAAGGAAACTAAATACGTTAAGGCTGTTTAGGATAACATTTGCTGTTAGTTTTCGGTATGCAGTAAAATATTGAAGTCATTTTAATGGAAAACAGGAAGATAGGCATTTCTACTGTATCATTATTATTCATCTTTGATTTGGAAGTCTGCCCTGATCACTGGAAGTCCTAGTGAATGCAGTTAAATGTGATAATAAAATAATTGGTATGGACATGGAAAAAGAAGCAATAAAATGATAATTACCCCCCTCCCGTGTTGATACTGAAATCCAAGAGATTAGTGGAAAAAACAAGATTAGGTGGGGGGTGGGTTTTGAGGGAGCACACTACTAGAAATAATATAATGAAAAAGAAGAGCAACAGAAACTTTCCTTAACAGAAAATAAAGCAGACTACAAATCAGTATTGTAATGATATAGAAATAGACAAATAGGTCAGTGGGCCAGAATAGGAAGTTCAGAAATAGTTCGTAATATATATCTCTCTCTGTGTATATATATGTGGTATTTCATATCAATGAGAAAATAATAGCTTATTTAATTAGTGGTACTAAGACAGTTGGGTATTCAGGTGGAATAAAATAACAGCCTATTAAAAATGAAGCATAGATAGAACATTTTAAAATAATAAATTAATTTTTAAAGAAAGAAAACAGACATATATATATATATATATACTGGAAAAACTACCTTAACAGGAAGACCAGAAGTTTTAAAAAGAAAAGATAATTTTATCTGACTGTATAAATATTTTAAAATAAACACCAATACTACCTTTATGTTTTCATATGCATTTCTTTTTCCAGATAATTCATTTTTAATTTACAGAAGTACTGGTTCTTTACTACAGCTTGAGAAGCACTGAATTAGATTATTTGTCCATCTGTATTCTGGGAAACTGGAAAATAGAGCTAAAAGTTAGATCAAGTTGAAACATTTTTGGCTAGGATATGTCGTAGAGGGTATGTAATTCATATTACATTATATTAAGAAACATATAGTATTTGTTTGTCCCATAATTAGTGATGCTGTGCTGACCACTGGATTAGCATGATGGTGGCTTGATCCTTCCATTGGAAAGCCCAAATCATAATCATCACATTGAAGGCCAGTAGAAGCCACTTTATGGGCTTCTGTGTCCTTTTAATAGGATCCCATTAATCTTCAAAAAACTTTCTTCGGTTCTGGCCTGAGATCTCCCTGGATCACCTTGTACGTCTGCCCCGGACTGACATAAGCTATTTCCTCAAGGAGTCCTGGTACTCTTTTCTACTGGTTGGCAATGTTTTTAGCCATTGAAGTCTGTACAGCTAGAAAAGAAATGTATTTTTAAAAATCATTCATTCATGATAATATTTTCAATTCTGTTCAACATTACAATGTTTTACTTTGTTCTTTGATTTTTCTAATTAGGTCTTTTTAAATATTTTACTGAAATTTTTGATAACATTGTTAATCTAAAAGTGTGCTTATCCTGTAGTATGAACTGATGAAAAGAGAAGAAAACTGGGTGAAACCAATTGGGAGGTAGGACCCTGTGGGTGGATAGATAAAAAGGTAAGAGAAGGTACTACCGGTGTTCCTCTGAGGAAGACTGATAGCCAAGGATCTTGATAAGACAAATAAAGGGCTTTGTTCTCTTATAGACCCCGGTTTGTCTGTTCACCTTTGTATAATTAGATATTCTTTCTGGCAATGATTGCACTTTCCAAATGTTAAGGGTGTGATTATCTTAAGCAGTGAGGAAGGCAGGTTAAGGTTAGGACAGGTGGTCATGCTGTGGTGGGGAGCTTTCTTAGGACTAAGGACTGTGTGAAAGCCCGGAATCTGTCAGGCTCCACTTGGTAGAAGAGTCTTCTGATGAACATTTCTCTTTTCCAAACACTTCCCACCAGTAGACCTCCAGCAACCACTTTGCTTGCTGAAGAAAACCACTTAGTTACAATTAAATGAAAAGGTTTAAAATTACAATGGGATTTGTGTTAACCAACTCAACCCATCCGCACTGAATTGTAACTAGTAGTCTATTAATAGTCTGTACAATATGCAGTTCTTCCCAGGTTTGATAAGAGGAGAATAATGGTCATCTAAATGGGAGAGTACCAGGAGGGAAAAAGATGAAAAGATTTTAAAGAAGACAGACAAAACAAAGGCTTCACCATTTTGCCTAGGTTGGACCTAGTGACCTTCATCTGGGTAAGGAAAACAATCTGTTCAGAGTCTTTCTGAATTAACTGCTGGTATTTCTTTTCCACTTGGCATCTTATGTGAATCATTTCTTTTAAAACATATGCCAACTCATTTCAAAGGGAGCTTTGTTCTCCGATGATCCATTAATTGAGATATCACTGCAGAATTTGGAACAAAATTCAATTTATATTGTAGAACTCCTTAGTGTGGTTCATTTTTCAATCCCCTTTCTCTTGCCCTGTGCCTCCAAATGCAGTTCTCACTGCCAGAGCAATCTCAGAAGATTCTGTAGAAAGTTCCCAGAGGCCCATTGTGCAGTAACAAAGAGTTCTGGCCGTAAGCTGTAGGTTCCGTCCTTCCCTGCTCTCCCAAGTGGAAGGCTGCCCTCATCCCTCACTAATGGGAGAGAAGGACAAGCATTGCTCAGGCCTGCAAGCTTGCCAAGCCAAAGGAACCCAAGCAAGAACTCATCATGCCAATCAAACCTATTGGGTGGATATGTGGGCAGGTGTTGAAGAACTTTTCTGGAAGAAGTAAACACAAGCTTGTGAAGGGGATATGGGTGTGGGAAACGGAATAAAGCCCCCTAGGGTCTGCTTGTTTTTCCAGCCACCTAAGCAGTGGACCCAGTGTTCCCTGTAGTGTTGAATTATGGTTAGGGGATATTTTTTAAGATTCCCTCCCCCCTTTAACTTCTTTTTGTCTTAGTTGAGGGGATCCAGAAAACAATCATGGACCTTGTAGATGAGTTTAAAGATGATATTTCTACCATTCCACGAGTATCACAGTCTAATCAGGTAATGTGATTTCATAACTGAAAAGAATTATAAGAAGTATATTGTGTTTTTAATATCACACCAATTATTTAATGCTTGATTTTGAGGTCAGTGTTTGAAGATTAGAAAAACATTAATTTCACTTCACACCCCCCTCCCCCAAACACACACACACACACACATTTTAACTCTTACTCATTGGGAGAGATTGGGGACAAAGAAGTGAAGTAGATAAACTAAGTTTAAAGACAGTCACTGTGTTGTTAGATTGAAAAACTAGAACGCTCTCAGCCACAGTTGCAATGTAGTTTACTTATATTTGCTTACGATCAAATCAGAAAAATACCTAAATATGCTTTCATTAAAATATCTGGCACTTAAATCAGTGAAAAAATGTAACTGACATAAATTATACCAAAGGAAGGATAAATATATGTGTTTTAAACATCTATTCCAAAAAGGATTTGAAACAAAATTTTGGGATTAGAAGAAGGATAAGAGAGAGAATTTTATGGTCAGGAAGAAGTAACGTGTAGGGGACACACGTAGCCTACTTTACTTAAAAGTACACAGCTCTTAATGGAAGTGTTGTTTCAATCATTTTGACCACAGTTGGAATGAAATGTGTTGTAAAGTTAGGTGGTACAGTAACAATCTACTTATCCAAAAATCAGACTTTTGGCAATGTCAAACATGAAGAACATAGCCGAAACCTGGAAGTAAACAAAAAAAGCACTCTGAGTAACATACTGTAATCACAAAACCTATATATTTCATTCCAGAGAAGGAAGTATTAGAGCTACCTTTAACCATTCATCCAGACACCCAGGCATCAGACTGGTATTTAGTATTTTACTAAATACTACTGTATGGGACAGAGGAGAGGGAATACAGAGATAAACATGATAGCATTCTTCCATTCATTGTGCTTAATCTAGCGGAGACTAAGTATAAACAAGTAATTGCATTAGAATATGGGAAGAGGTAAATCCAGTTTAGAGGAATAAAGGACTCTACCTAGAATGGCCAGAGAGGGCTTCATGCCGGAAGGATGCTTAAATTGAGTGTCAAAGGATGAATAGGAGTTTTCAAGGTGAGCAAAGGTGTAAGTGGGCAGCAGAGAAGAATATTTCAAAGGAGGCAGTGTCAGACCAAAAATTATTAAGCATCATGTTCCCAGAATGTCAAGTAAATGTGAATAAATGGCATGGGTCTTGGGACCTTGGGGAGGGGTGACACTGAAGAATAGTTATCTGGATGCATAGCGGTCTGATGGCATCCAGACGGAGGTCATCTAAGTAAGGTACAATAAGGCCTACGAGCTCCAGAAGGCGAGTTGGGCTTTGTAGTACCTTATCTTAGACCTGGTGTCCCTTTGATTCCCCGCTTTACATTCCCCTGGTCTTGGTAGAAGTCTTTTGAAGCATTGGAGGGTTTTCTTGGCTATGGCTGGAGCATTAAGAGGTGAGCAGGTGGCCGTGCTTGGTCGGGGATGTAAAATGCCAGTCGAGGCCAGCACAGTCGAGGCAGTAATTATTGAGAGAGCCTCAATGACTCTTAGGAGGCCAGACACAGACCAGGAAAGCCCCACTGCCCCTTCCAGCTGTGATTCTTCCACAGTTGCCAATGTTAGAGACCAGGGATTTTATTTAATCCAAGAAGTTTCAGGTTTCTTTACAACTCCCTTCATATCTTCCTGCCCTCTGCATAGCCTCATTATCACTAGAGTAGCACCATGCTTTCTGGTGAAGTAGATTGGTATTCTAATCCTCAAAGAAAAAAACTCTTCTTAGTTCCAATTCACTAAAGTCATTTACTTATAAAAACTTTACCCCACTCAGAGAATATAAAGATAGTTAAAAGTTCTTCATTTCTCATTTTCAAAGCACTTAATATTGTTCTTTTCCACCATTTACTGTGAAGAATGTGTTACTGAGATTGGCAGGGAACCAAAATAGTTAGGAGATGTGGTTACACATTGAAGTTATTTGCTCTTCAAAAATAAATTATCCAGAAAACAATGCTAATACTTCATTGTTAACTAGATCATTTTTAAAAGGTCATATTGTAAATGTTGCAAATTTTATTATTTTTATAATTCTCTTTAGTTCCCATACATACTAAAAGAAATGAGGGCTTTGCCCTACCTGGTTTGGCTCAGTGAATAGAGCATCGGCCTGTGGACTCGAAGGTCCCAGGTTCGATTCCGGTCAAGGGCATGTACCTTGGTTGTGGGCACATCCCCAGTAGGGTGTGCAGGAGGCAGCTGATCGATGTTTCTAACTCTCTATCCTTCTCCCTTCCTCTCTTTAAAAAATAAAATATACATTAAAAAATAATAATAAATAAAAGTAAAAGGAATGAGGGCTTTATTAATTGGATTTACTTTAAATCTCTAAACATTATGATTAGTATTTAAATAATTTAAAAATTATTATTTTAGGCATTTATTTATTTAGGAAAAGGCCATCTTGCTGGCTCGGGGAAAAAAAAATTGATGGGAATGATGGTAGAGTTTTTATAGAGAAATCTACCTGACCATAACTAGGATATTCTGTAATTCAGTTATATTTTTGTTTTTGGTGGGTTGTTTCTTGTAGGGCACTATCATTATTGTGAAAGTTACAAACTACATTTTCACTGAAAACTTTCTGGGTGGTTTCTAATTTAATATTTGGTATATTTCTATGATATTTCTCATTGTGATTTTTTTTCTGATACTCATCATTCATTCATTTTAACTTGCATTTATAGAGCACCTACTATGTGCCATCTTTCCAGGCACTGAGGAAAGATGAGTAAGTGCAGTGGATATAAAACTTCATAGAACTTAAATCCTAGTCAAGCAAAAACACAATAAACAAGAAAAAAACATATGTTAATAGTAGGTTTTAAGGAGAAGAAAAAATACAGCATGGAAGAAACATGAAGTAAAGGTAGGGATTACAATTGATGGTTAAGACTCTAGGGCAGGGGTGCGCAAACTTTTTGACTCGAGGGCCACAATGGGTTCTTAAACTGGACCGGAGGGCCAGAACAAAAGCATGGATGGAGTGTTTGTGTGAACTAATATAAGTTCAAAGTAAACATCATTACATAAAAGGGTACGGTCTTTTTTTCTTTCTTTTTTTTTTAGTTTTATTCATTTCAAACGGGCCGAATCCGGCCCACGGGCCGGGCCTGCGGACCGCATGGCTGCTCTAGGGTCTTAGTGAGAAAGTGATTCTTGAATTAAGACTTAAAGCAAGTGAGGAAGAGAATGTTGGTATCCTTGAGGGATCAAATGGCATAGCTAGTGCAAAGTTCCTGAGGTGGAAGTATACCTAACAAGTTCAACAAGTAACGAGGAGGAAAAAGGAGAGAAACAGATGGGGTGGCCAGAGAGGTAAAGAAGAGACAACCTTTGTAGGGCCTTGTCGACCGTGGTATGTACTTTGGCTTTAACACTGAGTGTACCAGGAAGCCAGCGAAGCAGTTGAATAGAAGAAAAGCAAGATATGACCTGACATACGTTTTCATTGTAGCTCTCTGGCTGGTGTGTTGGGGAAAAGAATGAAAACAGGCAAGGTCAGAAGCAGGGAGACCAGTGAGGAGGCGAATTCACAATGTCCAGACGAGATGATGGTGATATATAAATACAATGGACTGGGTGTTGGTATTGGGACAGTGAGAAGTGGGCTATTAAGAAAAAGAATTGAGTAAAATTTGCTGACAGGCTGGCTTTATAGATGTAGGGTAGTAAAAAGCTGGCATAATAGAAATTGGAGTTCAGCATTAAAACTGCTGATGATAGAGAAATGGGCCTGGCTCTAGGGAAAATAAAATAAAAAGGGAAAGCAGGATATGTATTGAAAAGATGGAGCTCAAATAGAGAAATATTTTGAACCAATCTCATTAAGTTTCTTTTGGTAAATGGTCTTTAAGTACCTGTCTCTGAGGTGATGGTGGTGGTTGGAATTTCTTTTCTGACATTTGCTGATATGCTCAGATGAAGATAATGATGACAAAAATAATCATCTAAACTTGCATATTTTGCAACCAATTCAAGGATCCTTACTTATGCCAAGAGTGAAAAAAAAATGAGGGAAAAGAAATGAGAACCTCTTAATTTGGAGTCACCATTTAAGTTTGCACACAAAGCTAGGTAAGAAAACATATAGCACAGATAATAGACAAAAAGAAAAAGCTGGTAGCTCAAAAAAAGGGGGGGGGAATGTTTTATTTAAATTTTTTCTATTAAAGCTAGTTTTAAAAGTAACTAATTGGACTCATCAACTTAAACTGTTGACTTGTTGTTTTTTTAAAAAGAAGAATGTCTCATTCTCCATCTAAATGAATGTAAGTAGCTGTCTTCTGCTGTCACTTTCGTATTCCAGAGACATGAGGAACCACTGGACATGCATCCAGTGCCTGTTTGGTTTCTAACACTGTTTTTAAGAGCACTAACAAGTTGATCCCGTGTTTTGTGGCAGGGAGAGTGGAGGTGGTCAGAAACAGTTTGTTGTCAGAGGTAATTCTTTCCGAGGTATCTAAGAAAGTATTAAAAAAGAGAAAGCATTTTGAAAACTCCGAAAGGCCCTTGCCAGTTTGGCTCAGTGGATAGAGCATTGGCCTGTGGACCAAAGGGTCCCAGGTTCAATTCCAAAGGCAAGTACCTCTGTTGCAGGCTCCTCTCTGTCCCCCAGGCCCTGGTTGGGGCTCATGCAGGAGGCAACCGATCGATGTCTTTCTCTCACATCAGTATTTCTCTTCGTCTTTCCCTCTCTCTTCCACTCTCTCTAAAAATCAATGGAAAAATATCCTCGGGTGAGGATTAAAAAAGAAGAAAAAACAAAACTCTGAAAGGAAGCACAGTTATTAAATTGAAACCATTTGAACATTAATGGAAACAAAGATGAGGAACAGGTTAAGTCTGTTGGAAAAAGCCATGAATTCACGATGAGACTGAAAAGAGAAAGATAACAAAAAGTGCATGAAAGCATTATTGTAATACACACTTGAATTTTAAAAATATTGTGTATAAAAAATGCTATATTTTGCTCAACACAAATTATGTGAACCCTACAGGAGAGTTCTGACTAACAGATAATCAGTTACAAATCAGCTTAATTTCCTACAGAGAAAAATTTAGAAAGACAATTTGGAAAAGAGGGGAAAGTTGAATGTCTCAATTTAGTATAGTGTTTGGGGGAATTAATCAAGATTATTTAATAGAAATACACATATAAATTCAGTGCATGGTCAATGTGTACAGATCACCAACATTTTATAAAGACGCATAAAAAGAGGAAAAGTGTAGAATGCTAATGTTTTGCCACTGCAAAAATGAAGGGTTCCTAAAACACCGAATGATCAGGTAGAGGAGGTTTCAGTAAAGGCAGAACAACTGCACGTGTCCCACTCCTGACCGCCCTGGCGCTGTGGCCCTCATCTTGATGACTAGAAATTGTAATGAGAGAAAGCACAGTATATTGTAATCAGAATGTACTTATTCTAGCGGCTTCACCTTGAGGAGGAGTTGGGAGGAAGAATCGGTGCAGTGTGGGGGATGGGAAGTCCTTCCTCTGTCCCTCTGAGTTCTTATAGCTGGACTAATAATAAAACTGGCACAAGACCAGACAACAAAAAACAAAAAAACAGTTAAAGGCATGCAAACAGATCATCAACGATGCTCAGAGACATGACGGATGCAGGCAGCTTTTTACATCTTGTAGACAAAGAAATGTGAAGAATTATCATGATGAAGGACTTAGATTTGGGTACTCATTAGTGAGGAACCTAGTTTGGGCTTGGGTAGTAAATTAGTAAAAAAAAACCAAAAGACAGTTTTTTTAAATACACACTTCTCAGCCCTGAATTCCCTAACTCTGGTGATACGGATGTGTCTCATTAGACTCCAGGTGCAGGAATAGAATTTTTCACATTGGAGATTTATCTCCTGCTTTCAGGGAGCGAGATGAAGAGATAGAAAGAGAGAGAGAAGAGAGAGAGAGAGAGAGAGAGAGAGAGAGAGAGAGAGAGAGCCCGAGCCCAAAGTTGTTCTTGCACTAGCAGTTTCTTAAGTAATTTTAATTCAAAATAATTGATATGCCGTTGTGGGATATTTTGGGGTGGCCTTCCCTATGATCTGACAGCAGCAAAGCATAAGGTCACAGAGGCCTTGAACCTGTATGTGCAGGAGCTTTGGATACTGCAGACAACGTGGTTCCTCTCCCTGGTATGGGTACGCTCACAACCGGAGTTTATTGCACCTCGTACTATTTTGCTTGCTCTATCTACCACATATTTGCTTGTAAGAATGACTCTATTCTATAATGGTTTGGAATTGTAGCAGTCCATAATTTAGATTGCATTTTCTGCTGTTGTATAGACTAGCAGGGTTAAGATCACAGGTGAGCCAATGGGACTTTTCCATAAAGTTAACAGATCAAACCAGCACATGCTGCAGAAATACATCCTCATTGACAGACTAGAATGGCTTTTTATTTTTATTTCCCATGGCAAAGCTGACCAGTAAGAGAAGACTGAACTTTGAGGACAAAAGCAACAATAATAAAATTATTACTTCAGGATGAAAATTGAGGTATTTAAAATATACAGCATGTTAGCTCTTAGACAAATATATACTCGTAATGTTCATTGTAGACCAAAAAATTCATTTAAAAGATGTTTTATACTTACATATTTTGACTCAACAAATAGAGATTCAAAGTTGCTTATACTAAAAAGCCAGAAAAGCCCGTAACATTACTTTAAAGAAGGATGGAAACTATACTTGTGTGTTGCCTGGAATGCAGTCTGACCACATTGCAAGTAATTTCCCTGTGATTCATTTTCTGGTAGAGCAGAGAAGTACTACATTTTATGTGTTTTGGTAATGCCACACATTTTTCAGAACGCTCATAGAATTTTTTAGAAGTGTCCTAAACTTGTTGATTAGTATATAGGGTATTTGTTTTATGAATTATGTATGTATGCTCTATTTTATCATTTAAAATGTTTAAAGGAAGGTGGGAAACACAAGTTTTGAATAATAATTATCATTTGAATAATTCAAACATCGAATAATATTTGAATAAGAATTGTTTATTTTTTAAAGACCTCTTAAATATCGATGCAAAAAAAATAAATAAACCTAGAGAGAAAAGTGGAAAAATGTGTATCTTTACAATAATAACTGAAATTCTGGATAGTTATCCTAAGGAACAATTCATATATTCATGTAGAGATTTAAGTACATAGTGGGGCCTATGAGTTGTAGGGGGTGAGATATCATCAGTAAACATGGAGTGTATGCCTGGAACCAAGCAGTGTACAATTATGTGGTACTTGTTTTCTGCCTAAAGTAGATTTTAATTCTCTGGAGAATCACACATCAGTCACTTTTCAAAGGCTTATTTTCCAGAAAAGAGAAACCATGAAAAAGCCATCTAAAGTCAAAATGGCCATTGCTTTAGCCAAGATCAACCGAGGAGCATTAATTCAAGGATTGAACAGCATATCCAGATCCTCCAAATCAGTGGCCAAACTCCTGCAGCCTCGACTTGCTTGTAGACTTTTAGAGTTAAGGTGCATATCTCACCGCCTGCTGAGGGAAGTTAACGCACCAAAGCAACCCCTATATAACACGCAGGTGAGTGAATGTTACATTTGCACAAGATATGGATTCTTTTGATAGAAAATTGCAAGATTTGAAAAATGTAGGACACATTTGGTTGTCCTACATGTAAAACAAGAATAGTTGGATAAGAGAAATGAATAGTTGGGTCTTTTTCCAAGTATATTCTCTGGTTTAAATAAATCTGAAAGAGGAAGTAATGTGGACTTTTCCTATCTCGTTATTTAATTGAATTATATAAAACTATCAATTTCAAATGTTTCATCCTAAATATCAGTCTACAAATTACTACTTGTGTCAAACCTAAAATCCTACAACAAACCTTAAAAATGATCATTTTTTTCCATTTCCCCATAAACTATGTTTCCAAGTTCATCTTTGACTGACATAATATATTGAGTATATTTAACTATACACTCATTTTGATAGACCTATCAACATCCAGGTATATTTCAGATTATATGTTCTACATTGCTTCATTGAGGCTCTGATAAAGGATAACAGTTCTTACAATGTTTTGGGGACTTCCCCCCCCCCTAAACTTTATGTCACAGAACCCTGGGTTTTTCAATCTGGACATTATTCAAAGCATTCTAAATATTTGTTACAAAAGATTTAGAGTCATGCAAGCCTGGCATCTAACCAATCCCCAGAATAAATTGATTTTAATTCTTTTGTTGAAGGGAGAGAAAACCTGGCTCAAACTGAGTTCAGCCAAAAGGAGATGTATCAGTTCATGTAGTAGTTGAACAACAGAGTTGATAAGGTTTCGGGCATAGCTGGATACAGGTGCTCAAATGATGCCGTTAGGATCCTGTTTCTTTCTCTCCGCCGCCTGATTCTGCTTCCCGTGTTGACGCCTTTCTCAGACTGATATTTCTCTCATGGTCACATGATGATTTGCAGCTGTTCCAGGGTTTCATCCTTCCAGGCTAAATTACAGCAGGAAAGAATGAGCATCCTTGACTCAGCATTCCTGACCAAGCCTGAGATTCACTCTTGGAGAATGGCTTATGTCTAAACCAGGGGAATGGTAATCACTGATTGCTCTAGAACTCAGTTACCTGCAGCATTCCCAGAGTGGGGGTTGGAACTCCATCCAGACCACATGACCTGAGAAAGGGGAGAGGATGCATCCTCATACAAAAATCTGGGTTGTTTTGAGCTGAGAAAATGGATAATGGATGGGATTGCAAAAATGAACAAAATATTCATCATACAGGAATTTCTCTAATCAAAGATTTTGCCATTTCCAGAAATCATCAGATATTTCAACTATGAACTGCCTGAGACAGCATTATAAAGAGCTGTCTTAATGATACCTGATGTTTGAGAAAGTAAAAAATGATTTTTTGTGCATCTTTAGATCATCAAAAAGAAATATAGCTGACTCATATTATTTTAAATTCCCATCAAAATGTCTGTCTGAATCTAATCTTTTGCCTTGACATTTCTTTCCTTGCATTAGAACATTAGAGCCAACGTTTGTACAGAGGATTGATGTAAAAGTGTCCTTTGAAGACCATCTCTGTATTCATTATGAAATCATGTTTAAAGGGACTGTCCATTACATTATTCATAGTCTTTCCCTTTGCTCCTCTTTGCTGTGAAGGATGAGATTTTTACATTATTTACAAGCTAACAACTTAGCCCACCACAGTTATATAAATACACACACACACACACACACACACACACTGACAGAGACCAGAGCCTTGTGGCAGAGACACAGATTGTTTATTATTCACAGCAAGCGCAGCAACCAGAGCAATATCTTGTGTCAGTTTTCTACACTGCAGTTCCCACAGGGCAATGAGCTAAGAGCCAGATGTTATCTCTGCGTGTACATAGTAAGTTGCATCACAGGAGAGGAAACCTGAAATTAGGAGATTTAGCCTTTTATACGGTTGCTGGTAGTCTGCCCAGTTTGGTGGGGTTGGGGGAGAGGGAGAGAGAGGGAGGGAGAAGGGCACGTGTCTCTGGAGGGGAAGGAGGAGAGGCCGTTATATTTAGTGCCCTGTGACCTGTCTTGGGGAGTACATCACTAGATCTCTCCAGAGGAATATACTTCCTTTCAAAATTGTTTGCTATTCAACCATGTCCTTTTCTCAGAGGACCCAATCTGTCCAGGGCTGAAAGAAATCTTTGGAGAACTGTACGCTTATACTCATGAAAATTCAGTGGCAGAAAAATAATCTCTATTTTCTGTTGAATTTGTGTTTCCTTTAAATATTAAGAAAACCACAATGTGTTTGCCTCTTTGCCTTGATTGACAGTGAGTTTCACAGGTAAATTTACAGCTTAGTTGTGATAACTTATTCCAGGAAATCTGAGATGAGAGAAACAGGTTGAAGGATTAAATGACTTATCTAAGGTCCACATGCTGACTCTGACTCTCTTTTGAAATCTATTCAAGATCAACACACCTATGCCATCTCTTCTCCTTTGTTCTTGTTGTAATTGTCTTAGGACATAGCTTTAATTTTTAAAGTCCTTATCAATAAAATATTTCAAAATATGTGAAAGGTAGTTTATAAGAAGTTCCATCAGTATTTACCTGGTAGTAATATTCTGCCATATTGCCTTCAGAAATCTCCTTTATAAAAAGAAATATAATTAACCATGCCCCAATCCTGTCCCCTTTTTCTTTCTACCAAACTTAATCATTATCCTGATGTTGCTGTGAACATTTCCATGCATATGTTTATATTTTCACTATATTTGTATACATGTATTTTACTGTGTATACTTAAAATTTATATAAAAGGTATGCTGTACTTATCTTTTTGAAACTTCCTTTTTTTCTCAAAAATTTATATATGTAGCTATGATTTATTATTTTAATTTCTTTGGGGTAGTCTATTGTAATTCACAGTTTATCTGTTACTAGACAGATGGATAATTTAGTTTCCAAATTTCTTGTATTACAAGTAGTGCTTCAGTGAACATTCTTGTAAATAACTCCTCATGCATATGTATGAGACATTCTCCGGATGTATATCTGGAAGAGGGATTGCTGGGTCATGAGGATGCATGACTTCATTTTTATTATCTATTAGAGGCCTGGTGCATGAATTCATGCATGGGTGGGGTCTGGCCACCCATCCTGATGGGGGCTGATTGGGGCTGGGTCAGTGGGGGGGGAGGGGCCGTGGGAAGTTGGGGGGCCGATTGGGGCCCTGATCAGGCCGGTTGGCTGCTGCAGTGTGTGTCATAGCAACCAGTCATTCCAGTTGTTCAGGTCATTCCGTCGTTATGGTCACTTGGCTTTTATATATATAGATTGTCAAATGCTTTTTAGATTCAGTACACTTGGGGATCATTGTGATTCTTGAATCTGAGGATAAATTCTTCAATTCTGAAAAATTCTTAGTCATTATTTCTTTAAATATTACTTCTTTCTCATTTTCTCTAATCTCTTCTTCTGGAATGCCTATTAAAATAGCTTAGAGTCTTCTCACTTCATTCTTTGTCTATATAATGTCCTCATATTTTCCCTTTATCTTTCTTAAATGCACTTTGAATCATTTCCTCTGAGCTATCCTCCAATTAATCAGTTCTCTCCAGCTGTATCTAATATGCTATTTTACTTATTTAATGTGTTTTAAATTTCAAACATTATACTTACCATTTCTAGAAGTTCTAGTTGGTGTTTTCCCCAAACTTCCAATTTTTTTTCTTTTCAAAGTGTCTTTTATGAGTTTGTTTCTTTTTTAAAAAATCTAATTATTTTAAACACACTTCTATGTGGTCCTTTAAAAGATTTTTCTATGAGATATTTGGGGGATGCTAATCTTCTTGACTATTGTGATATAATGTCTCACTCATAGAAGATAATTTCTTTTGGTGTTTTGTTTTATTTAACTGAAAGTTTTTTTCCAATGGGGATTTTTTAAAAATAGAAATTCCTTGTCTCTTAGAACTGTTCCTCTACAAGATTAAGCTAGTGCTCCAAGCGTGTCAGCCCCTGGTGGAGCCCAGCTTTCTCACTTTCTTCCTGGACTGGTGGGTGCACTTGTCCCAGTCCCCTTTCACTGAGACTCCCCAAAGGCCTACTCCTCACCTCATGTGTATCCAAGTCTCATCTCTAGCCTCTTCGTTGAAACTCAAGCCCCAGCCATTATTTCAGGGTCCAATAACATCCCCAGAGCTCCTGGGATATAAACTCAGACACTTACTCTTCCAGTTTTTAGTTTCCTCTTTGTTCCTGGCAAGCGGATTTCCTTCCTTCTTCCCTCCCTTCTTCCCTTCTTCCCTTCCTTCCTCCCTCCCTCCCTCCCTTTCTTCCTTCTCTCCTTCCTTCTTCTCTTCTCAGTTTTATATTGCATTTTTGATATACAAATTTACATAGAATTTGTAGGTTGTGTGTGTGTGTGTGTGTGTGTGTGTGTGTGTGTGTTTCTCCATTAACTCTGCCATGTTGCTGGAACCAGATATCCTTCAGCTTTGCTTTGTTTGTTTGCTTGTTAATCCTCACCCAAGAATATTTTTTTATTTTTTCTGTTGATTATTTTAGAGAGTGAAAGGGAGAGAGGGAGGAAGGGTGTGAAGGAGAGAGAGAGAGAGAGAGAGAGAGAGAGAGAGAGAGAGAAACAAACAAACATTGGTATGAGAGGGACACATCAATTGGTTGCCTCCCACATGAGCGGCTGGGCTGATGGAAGCTGCAGCCCAGGCACAAGCCCTTGACCAGGAATTAAACCCAGGACCCTATGTCTAAGGACTGATGCTATAACCACTTAGAAACACCAGCCAGGGCCCATTTTATTATTATTATTTTAAATTATTGATTGATTTGAGAGAGAGAAGAAGGGGAAGAGAAGTGTGTGTGGGGGGGGCAGGGTATTGAGATATGTTGTTCCACTTATTTGTTCATTGGTTGATTCTTGTATGTGGCCTGACCAAAAATCAAACCTGCAACCTTGGCATATCAGGATGACACTCTAACCAACTGAGCTACCTGGCCAGGACCCAGCTTTACTTCTTAATATCTTTTATAAATTTCAGTATAAAAA